GTAGCACAGGCGGATTGGCCGTCAAAATTAGCACATACGTATTTTTGAGCCAAGGTCCCAGGATGCCTCTGGAATTAGCTACAGGCATTTTTTGATTTTTCTGTGAAAATTCCGGTTTCACCGAGTGTTGATATATTCGTACGCTTTCGCCCTGTGAAGCGTTGGTTGTACCTTGAGGATGGTCACCTCCAGAGCAGAGGTGCGATAGTGGGAGCCGATTCTCCCCCTACCTTCACTTTTGAGCTGGTACAGGGTGACCACCTTCACTTTTGGAATAAAAAATTTTTCGCTGGACGACAAAGAAGGAAAATAAGCAAAACAAACGCAAAAAAGATTATTGAAAGCATATATTTATGTTTACGGCGGCATATATATTCAAAATAAACGTTTTCAGTAAATGGTGTATTTGGAAGTAAAACTTAGCGAAATTGTACGGATTTTATTAAGCAAATTTTGTTGTAGCGTACAGCGAAGAAAGTAGATCGATCCAGGCAGTAACGGCCGAGAACCATAGTTTTGAATAAATAAATAGTGAAAAATCATGCGAAATTTCCACCGTTATAAATCTGTTGTTTGAAGATGTCAGCAGTTGCGACTTCATAGGTTTTGAAGAGTAAATGGTGCTCTATCAGATGGTAAAAAAATCAAGTGGATTTGAGAGATAGTCGTTGAAAACCAGAATTCTAAAAATTTACGTCATTTTTGCGTGTTTTTTGACAGTTGAGAGTTAAACTCATATAAATCTTGAATGTGAAAGTGTATGATGTTGCGACTTTATAGATTTTATAGAGTAAGGTTTGCCTTATCAGGATATATCTTAACCGTTCCGATCCATTGAAACACCTCCGAGATCCAGAGTCTTGAAAAAGCAGGTAAAAAAGCGCTTTTTGAATTTCAACAGCTCATAACTTCTTCAAAGCTGCATGAATCATGTTGCGACTTTATAGGTTAGATTCTTCTCATCAAGAGCTTTTAGATGATATATAATATACGGGGGTTTAGAGCCTCCCACGAATTATGCCCGTGGGGGGAGCCTTTTCATGCCAAAGTCTCCCCCTAGCCCACTTTAATGTATTGGAGGGGGAGACTTTGGTATGAAAAGGCTCCCCCCCACGGGCATAATTCGTAGGAGGCTCTAAACCCCCGCATATTATATATCATCTAAAAGCTCTTGATGAGAAGAATCTAACCTATAAAGTCGCAACATGATTCATGCAGTTCTGAAGAAGTTATGAGCTGTTGAAATTCAAAAAGCGCTTTTTTACCTGCTTCTTCAAGACTCTGGATCTCGGGGGTGTTTTAATCGATCGGAACGGTTAAGATATATCCTGATAAGGCAAACCTTACTCTATAAAATCTATGAAGTCGCAACATCATACACTTTCACATTCAAGATTTATATGAGTTTAACTGTCAACTGTCAAAAAACACGCCAAGATGGCGTAAATATTTGAAATTCTGGTTTTCAACGACTGTCTTTCAAATCAACTCGATTTTTTCACTATCTGATAGAGCACCATTTACTCTTCAAAACCTATGAAGTCGCAACTGCTGACATCTTCAAACAACAGATTTATAACGGTAAATATTTCGCATGATTTTTCACTGTTTAATTATTCAAAATTATGGTTCTCGGCCGGCCTGGATCGATCTACTTTCTTCGCTGTACGTTATAACTAAATTTGCTTAATAAAATCCGTGCAGTCCAACAAACCTTTCCTTCCAAATACGCCATTTACTAAACACGTCTATTTTAAATTTTTATAAAAAAATTTATAAATATTTTTAATATTCATTGTATATGTGGCCCTAAAGAGGGCCGTTGGGTCACAGTTCGGCCTAGAAGGGTAGCTCTGTTCGTCCGTTCTACCCCCCCCCCGTCGACGTTTTTGGGAGGTAAGTGTCCGACACTACCACCTTCACTTTTGGGCGGCCAGTGGTAGCTGGGACCACCTTCACTTTTGGTGGGCCCGGCTCCCCCCATTGCACCTCTGGTCTGAACGCACAAGTTCTCCGTCCGTGACACGAGCTCCATGTTGGCCTCGGTCTACAAAATTCAACCACATTAGCTGAACCAATACATCATGCGATGATGTCATGGTTCTTAAGAAAAATTATAAAATTCTTCGATATAGTGCCGACCCTTTGACGAATACTAAATATTAGGTCGTCCCGAAAGTTTTGTCTGTCTCCAGAACGCCAAATCATGTACGACTTAGGTATCTTTTGATTCAGATTTTTATCCTCTATCCTACGGCTATATTTGCTCTCTGATCTACACTGTCCTTAGAATGTTATCGCCATGGCTTTTTGAGCATCTTAGCAGTAATGCCATGCCTTTCCTGAATTTTCAAAATTTTTATGCTGGAGTTTTCAAAGAGCGTTGGTAACTATTAGGTTGTCAAGAAAATAATGTTTTTTTTATTTGCTTGCTAAAACAAAGCAACCAGACTCAACCCAATAAAAAGTAATGGGTATTGTTCGATAGAGCAAAGCAAGCTCTACAAGATGGCTTTTATGATTTTGCGCCAAGCTCGATCCACGGATAGTTCGAACTCAAAATTTGAAGACAAATGCCCAAAAATCGAAAAAATCAAATCTTCGTCCAAATAATTTCTACGGACTTCCCACTCGCACACGTCAATACTTTCGATATCTGATATCTGATGTGCAGCTGCTGTACTTTTTCCTTGACTAGAAACTGAGAAAACGAAAATCTTCGTGTTTTTCTAAAAGCAATGCTGAGCCGTTCTTGCATATGTGATTCCATACTACAAGCTTAGTTAAGTATATTAGATTTTTAGCCCATTTCCGAGCAGTAGTTTTTGAGAAATGTCGAAATCAGCATTTCTTTTCAGTTTTAGTGCTAAAAGTGACATTTCTCAAAAACTACCGCTCGGAATAGGTTGAAATATAGTTATACTTACCTAGGCTTGTAGTATAAAATCACATATGCAAGAACGGCTCAGCATTGCTTTTAGAAAAACACGAAAATTTTTGTTTTCTCAGTTTCTAGTCAAGGAAAAAGTACAGCAGCTGCACATATGGATATCAGATATCGAAAGTATACGTGTGCGAGTGGGAGGTCCGTAGAAATTATTTGGACAAAGATCTGATTTTTTTCGATTTTTGGGCATTTGAAAATCTTCAGATTTTGAGTTCGAACTATGGATCGAGCTTGGCGCAAAATCATGATTGCCATCTTGTAGAGCTTGCTTTGCTCTATCGAACAATACCCATTACCTTTTATTGGGTTGAGTCTGGTTGCTTTGTTAAAGCAAGCAAATAAAAAACGGCATTATTTTTTTGACAACCTAATATTATGTAGAGCAATCCTTTGGGTACATTGCGCCAATTGTAAGACTCGGCATAGTTCCGCAGAGCAGCTAGTACTAAGATTGGTGTAAAAATCTTAGATAAGGTGATTGATATTCGCCGGCCTTAATAAAGTCAGTTCCCAACAATTATTTATTAACAATAACCGTGTGATTGGACAAAAGCAAGTGATTTCTGTGACTAAGATGAATAAACTATCAAGGATCGTACTTGAGCCGTCGGCCAGCGGCGATGAATCAGAGCCCGGCACGAGGTCGGCAAATGACAAGCTGGAAATCGTTTTGGGGCCAAAAAGCAAAGGAAAAATCGTTTTTGCGGGGTCCGGGGCGGAGCCCCGGAAAAAAATTGATTGTTACGCAGCACAGCAGAGTTCGCGCGCGTCACGTCGCGCCGTCGCTAACTGCCGCGCGCACGACGTCGTTTAAACGATGCTATTTGTTACAGCATACATGACTAGTTGTCAATGTATGCGTAACGATATGGCACCAAATTTTGTAAGCGAACGGAGGGAGGTAGTGTAAACATAGTATGAAAAATTATGAAAAACTTATGTGAGCGAAACGAGTAATAAGCATTTGTTCCGAAAGTTTTGCAAAACTGGTAAATGAAGATGTGAATTCAAATGGCTCGTTTACTGCGCACAGATGACGATATGGTATGAAACTTGGTAGGTAGATGAACACGGGCCTGTAGGGCTTAACTTAGAAGTTTCATTGAAAAATTATGTGACTGAATGTTGTAGGAAGCTTTTGTCTGGAAATTTCCCACTATCAAGAAAATGGAAAAATGGCTCGTTTGCAACGCAGAGGAAACGAAATCGCGCGGGACTTGGCGTGTATATGCGCAATAGGACTAAGTAATAAAGTATAAAATATCAAAAAAAACTTATGTGAATGAAGAGCGTGCTTAACTAATTTCCAAATTATTCCCACTTGAGGTCGGCAAAACAACAAAATTTTTACATAAATCTACTCTGCACCTAAACATTGGTATATACTGAAATTTTGGTTTCAAACTTCCTCCTCTCCCCATTGCTAGAGGCAAAAATAGCCTCAGCAACCCCGTTTCCTAAAGAGGAAAACGTGCTCCAATTAATCGATGACGGCGTCTGACCTAGAATCGGCGTTTGGTGTGTCGGTGTGTGCGCCCACTTTTCTTGTTTTTGTTGGTCTTTCTGTTCTGTTCATGCTGTATGTTTCCATAAATTTGTATGTTTCCATAATTTCAATCACCTATTTCAGAAGTAAATAATATCTCAAAAGGCGCATTCTATAATTCTATAATATTTCAGATAAAACAGATTTTTTGCAGTATACAAAACATCAAGGAGTTTCATCTGTCAAATGTGATTGCATGTGCTAAGCAGTTTTAAATTCGACTTCACGGCATATTGGCGTAGCTCGTAATTATTTCGATATTACAAACCACTTTGATACATATGGCCATATTTTTCTTTCCTTCCCTTATAGTTGTCACAAGCTGCAACAGGAGCATCGCTCTTACACGTTCCTTTTTTTCATCCTTCTTAGATTTTTTTTGAATTTTTGAAATACTGAAATTTCCTGGTTAGGAAATTTCAGTATTTCAATCTGCTTGCTGTATCTAGGTTGATTGTTCCAAATGGAGTCAATGCAGTCGGGTCTTCCGCTAACAGTGATGCCGGGATGGAACGATCCACCAAATTGGGTGGAGTGCAATCCTCTACTGCCACAAATTGTCTGAATCGATTGCACAGACGTCCTGTTGATCCTTTAATCTCAGTGAGTCCCGAATTTGTGCATTCTTAGATGTATAAATACCTAATTTCTCAAACCTATTTTCAAGTTTCATTGCATACTTGCTTCAGTCTAGCAAGGAATTTGTTATAGATAGATGTGAGGGCTGTTTACCTGCGCATGTCCAGAGAACATTTAACACGTTTTGGTTTAGCTTTACATGTTTTGTAATCATTTCGGTTCGGTAAGGGAATTTGAAATACGCGAGCTATCTGGCTCTTTTTATAGAAGCAAAACACTCCAAAAGTTGAAGATCTTGACGCTTTCTGCAATGATGCAGGGAGCACTTCACATGGTGGCGTGAAGTCGTGTACATAACACACTATCGCGTATTACTTCACTTGGATGCTGGAACCGTAGCGCTCTTCTTAGTTCTCGAAATCTGCTATGTATCCGAAAAAGTACGGCGTCACAGTGACAGCATTTTCAAAGTTGTTAAGGGAGGTGACGATCAAGAAAACTGTTCAAAACTGTGCTTAGGCGAAGCTTTTGGAACCTGTCAAGCATCTAGGTGACATGTCGATTTTTTTAACGTGGTGGGAGGTTGTTTTTTTTTATAAAGATGTGATTGAATATGGTGCAAGTTGAGCAGCTTATCTTCCTTTTTTGAAATGGGTCCGGATAACGTAAAGAAACCGATTTGTCTCTTGTTTAGAGCATAACGTCCCGCACTGGGATACAGCCAGATCATCTCCACGGAGGATATGAGCCTGGGTGAGTCGACAGATTACGTACTGGTTTGAAATTCTAACCCCCTTATCAAGTGTTGCTTCACTTATGAGCACCAGTGTGACTATTCCAGTTGAGGCTTTTCATCTAAATACCCAAGATAGGGCTCAAGTTTTTCGTATCAGAAAAAACGCATAAGTTGTTTTACACCAGCCTTCTATTGCTAACTTCCGAAATATTGCTTGTAATTCTGTATTTTTAAATTCAGACACCGTGTCAACTCTCAGGTTCCCACTGAACAATACGAAGTGAGTTTATGCAATTTTTATGCTTTTTATTTGTTCTGAAATTGTGCATTATTATTTTTTCACAACCGCATGACACTTGTGCTTCCATAGCTCCCTCACATTGTGTTAGTACCACAGCTTTTCAGTAATATTGTGGCTGCCAGACTTTTTTTTTGTACGAGTCACACGCGGGGCAATTCGCAAGCAACATTCACTACCTTCGCTTCGTTTTGTCTTCATTTCTTTTTCATTATACAGGGCGTCCCAAAAAAAATGTTTCGAAAGTTTGATCGTTAATATCTCTCTTCCCAAGAAGTCTTTTGCCTTGCTTCAGGTACCGTTTTGTAGAGCTGGCTTCAACTTAGATTTCCATTATAGAACGAATCACCCATCTCTCTACATTACTGTAGGGTTACGGTAGAAACTTCAAAGAGGGTTTTGAACCATGAAAGGCCATATTTTGCCTCAGAAAGGAAACAAAACAGCCTGAAAACTTTTACACCAGGCTAATTAGAATTGTTGATTATAACTGTAAAGTTCCCAACTTATTATGATGCTTCATTGAAGAGTTATGCCAGTGAGAGGTAGCGGCCTTTTTTTCAATGTTCCTAAAAACCGTTTAAAAAGCTTCGTATTCTTGTGAATAGTTGAGTATTGAACTCAGCGTCTACAAAAACCCTATTACACAAGTTTCCACAATTTGAAAAATTTTGAAACGGCAGCTTTTTCCACATTGACACCATATGTTTCAAGTTTCTACCGTAATCCTACAGTAATGAAGAGAGATGGGTGATTCGTTCTATAATGGAAATCTAATTTGAAGCCAGCTCTACAAAACGGTACCTGAAGCAAGGCAAAAAACTTCTTGGGAAGAGAGATATTAACGATCAAACTTCGAAACATTTTTTTGGGACGCCCTGTATTATATATGGATCAGCAATTGGAAGTAATTGAAAAGATGTGTTAGGTTGTTCAAAAAAGTACTGCAAACTCTTTTAATGACGACCACATTCGGAAAAGAAAGTTGCTGCCTTAAAGTCTGTTCTTGTCGCACGTTTGTTCAACTATCAAATACGCTAATCAGCTCGAAAGTACAATAGTGGCTGTAGTGGGCTGCAAGATCGTCATACGGAACTTTATTTCAGTTTGTAGAACTGCAAACCTTGCAAAAGCTTGTTTGAGATTCTGAGCTACATCCTCCCGTGCTCGCCGAATATAATACTTGCTCTGATACTGACGCTCCTTTCAAGCAGCAGTACTTATTTTATTTCAATGTCAAAGAATTCGAGGTCTATTTATAACGCCTCGACGCGCTACCGGGTGAGCAACATGCTTGGCGATAGTCTGCACATATGACCTTTCACTGTTTGGTGGTAACATTCGCTTTTAGATAACATGTCATTAAAACAAGATAGTCTAATGTTATTGGCAGAACTTTTCAAACAACCTAGTACAAGCAGGTTTTCTTTTGAAGTTAATCCTCATTCAGTTCAATTCAACTCCTGTTTTTGTGGGAATGGCTACTTCACCCCTAGTAGTGGGAATGAGAATCACGCATCAACATTTTGGAAATTTTTTTTGCATGATCGCCTTAATCCGCTTGATCCGCTCCGTGCAAAACGCGCGCCACCGCAGTTTGTCATTTGGCGCTGCGTAGGTAAAAAGGATTTTCGTGTGGTTGACCAAATTCGCTGTACGCGACGCTAAATGAGAACTTAGTAACGTGCATTTTGCACGAAGCGGATCATGCGTATTAAGTGGATTAAGCGGATCAAGCAAACTGTAGAGATCTCTAAGATCTCATTTTTTTGTCATAGATGAATTGTTTCTGTTTTTTTTGTCAACAAAACTTGTTTTTTGGTTAAAGTGTTCACTGCAGAATCACTGGGATCAATTTTTGGGTCAAAGGGGAAATCGTAAAAAAAAATTTTGGGTCAAAGGGGAATTCGTTTTCGAAAACCCCTTTTGCCGACCTAGTGCCGGGCCCTGCGATGAATCATTATGGTCGATACCAAATAACTAATAGTGTAATTGCTACTCACGAAATTATAGGACAAGAGTAAGAAAGAGAGTTTGGAAAAGGGTTTGAAAAACTACATTAAATAAGTGTAAGAGAAAGGGTACAAATGCACCGTTAAAGGGTTCATACGGTCTCTTATATATGTTTCTACTAATAGATATGAACATAAAAATGGTATTCAATTAAACATTGCCTAATGGTAAATACAAGCTTTCCAACAACAACACAACTTTCCAATTTCCTTCGAGGGTTTTTGTAGGTTTCTTCTTTTGTCTTGATAATTCGTTTTCGTCGTATTCAATGTCACTGCGCTGCTACAATGTTTGCCTACTCACTCGTTATGTAAACGTAAAATCCGCTATCCGTGCATGTGCAGGGTACTTGACAAAGCACATTACACAATTTAGATTAAATGGACAACGTTTACCGAGTCCGTTATGATTATTTATTTGATAGAAACCGAGGTCTGATTACGTTTAAGAGGCAAAAGTACCGAGAACTCTAAAAACCTACTTTTTCATAGCAAACCAAACTTGGTGATGTTGCATAAATAATGTTTGATAAGAAGTTTGTTTCAATTCGCAGAAGCTGCAAAAGCTTTCGTGTATTTGCTGCAGATGCGTGTTTCATGACCTTGCCAAAAATCGAGACCTCCCAAGAAATAATTTTTTGAAGCTAAAAACTGTAGGTTAGGAGAATCCAAAAATACTACCTTAAAGTTCGAGAATTGCTCTATTCGATTCATACTTAACCTTTTCCGAATCTTTAGAACGAACATTCCAAATATTAGTTGAACTTTGAGCAGTTAGAATTGGCAGGTGGAGAGTTTTGGCAATTTTTGAAAAAAAGTATGCAAGATGTATCGTTAAGGAAGAGAAGGAAAAGCTGCATCGAATGCATGTTAGAAGTTATTCAGGTCTTTATTGTGCATGGTTTTATAGTCGTTTGAAAAATCGACAAACTATCGGGATAACTTAATATTTCCTTGAGCAATTAAATCATGATTAATTCCATCAGGGCTGTGTGAAGTAGTCATCCCATGCATGTCATTGTATTACCATCTTGCTATATTGGATCGTAAAGCATATTTAAAGGCAGTGCCTCACCAAAGTTGAGGTCGCGCGGATCTTCACATATTCTGTAATAGGGAGCTCTAAATAGGCCTGTGCAACAGGTCCCACTCAATTTGACCTTCTCCACGCTGAGAAAAATTCGCTCAAAGTGGTACGCGGAGAGCCAGTTGGTACGCGCAGACGACTCCTTCGGTCTCCCCCCTCACGCGTTTGAACATGTCCCTCCACTTGGCATTCACCTTCCCTCTGTTGCTGCCACTGTGGCTGAGGCTGAAGTTGGAAGGTACAACTCGTCCATGTTGCTTCCACGGGGCCTCCAGAAAACGGGGTTTTTGAGAGCTTCGTGCGATTTCAAGCCCATACAGTGCTAGACAGGGTCCGACAGGCTTTCAAAATGCAAAAATCTCGGCAACGAAATTTTGGTGAGACACTGCCTTCAATGACATTGAAGAATGTCTCAACTGTGATATCCACGCATATCATTCACAGTTGAGGGGGTTGGCAGTGGGCCAAGGATTAGCAGCTACGCTTGCCATCTTGTGAGCAGAATGGAAAGACCGGTGCTATTACGATGCCCACTCATGTACTATTAATATATTGAAGATTGTTGCATTGTGACTTCAACACAGTTCGAAATAATGAGTTCAAGACTCAAATCAGATTACAGTACATAAGTTTTACCGGAAAAGCCCCTAAAACGGTTGGCTTCTCTACTTAAACATCCAGCTAATGCTAAATAACGGTACGATACAAGTGAGATAGTATCGCAAGGAGAACTGTTCGGGTAATCCGGTCGCAGTTGAATAACCCGATAACCTGCTTAAATACTGCGGAACATGTATAAAATGGCAATCGAAGTCCGCAGTGGGGAAAGTGCAAGACGAGAATCCCTCGAGTTGGCAAATGAGGTAGCAGCCTAAGCACAGCAGGTCCGTTAGGAAGGCACAGGAAGATGGACCATCATAGCAACGACTTTGATATCAGGTGCATCTTCCCAGGCTGCAAGCCAACAATCGCTGCTCGTAAAGCGTTTGAAGTGACATACATTCTCTTGTGCAAACCGAAACTGAACAGGAAGAATGGACAGTTCTGCATCTAGTGACTTGATGCGTTCCTGTCATACTGTCACTTATACACAGGGTAAAGCGGGGGGTGCGGCACGCCGCAAGGGGGGGGGTCGTAAGGGGGGGGGGTAGGTAGGGGGGGGTCGTATCGACCCAAGGTCAAAAGCGGTTTTTAAGGGGAAATGACTGCAGCTAAGTTCTTAGATGTGCCACGCTGTTGAAATCCTGCAAAATTCAAGTTCAACGACACAAACTTGCAGATACCGTATGCCTACCGTAACCTACCGTACCTCTAATCAAGCATAATTGTCGTAATCCGCGCGTCGAATAGCCCCTATGCGCCAAGTTTCAGCGAACTCTGAGGTCTCCGAGCAGTAAACAACCTTGTATAAAGCAGTAATTTGAAACATGATTAACTTCATCTTAACGGTGAGTAAGCTACCTCTTCTTGCACTCAATACAAAGCACTACTCCTTCTTTGTCCACCTCAGGAATCCCGCTTCAGAAGACCTCCAAACTACTGAATTAGAAGCCAACCAAATTCGCTTTTAGCTTTTGATCGCTGTGCTTTCATCAAATATTACTCAGAGCTAAGAAGACGAATCAGGCTCAAAACATCCCTATGGAATCTATGAGGTTTAGGCTATTGTTTCATATAAATATTGTCCGCTAAAAATGTTTTTTTGATATAGTTAATGGCCTGCGGCACCCCCCCCCCTCAAAACCTGCGGCTGCCGCAGGTTTTGAGGGGGGGTGCCGCAGGCCATTAACTTACCTTCAAATCGTTCAAACAGCTGCCTTTTTCATATCATCCTGTAGATTCATCCTTCCTCTATCCGTAGTAGCTGTTTCCCTTCGAACCTTTTTCTTTAGAAGGAGATACATATGGTTTTTGGCGAACCATATGCTGGGAAGTGCGGCCAAAAAATATTGGGTTACGGTAGCGCTCGAAAGATTGTCAAAACACACAGAGGCGCCAGATACACGCCTTTGAATCCCACTCTCGTTATGAGCTGTGATGTTCTCGCTTTTTTCTCTATTTTTCTCCCTCTCTTTTATCTCATACTCTCTCTTTCTTTCCCTCGAGTTCGCTTTTCCGCTATTTCGCTTTCGTACTCTTTTCTCGTTATTTCGTTTCCGTTGTTTTTCGTGTTCGTTTTTTTTCGTTTTCGTTTCTGTTTTCTGTTGAAGGTACGTAGTCATGTGTATGTTGATGTTTTCAAGAAGTTGTTTTATGGCAAAGCAGTTTCTCTTCAGGGAAAGCCAGCTGATTAGCCACAGCAACCGCCTCTCGAGTATGATCCCGTTTTATATCAGAAAGCTAGTTGTAAAGCTATCTTGAACCTGCTATGGTGAGTCAAGCTATCTTATGTTCAAATATTAGCTTATTTTTGGCCGTTTTGAGACCCTGTGAACGTGTCAGCAAGCGCAGTTAACGGTTTGTATGGACGGTTTACTGAAACGTAAGCGCTACCACTTGTCTTCTCTTTTAAAAGCGTTTTTCCATTATTTTAAGAACTTTTTTGCATTAACATGTTGAAACTTTACCTATAGGTTGAACTTGATGTATACCGTTGTAACAAGCAGCCATCCGTTATGCTCACGTAATTCTTTCAGTTTCGTGGACTTCCGCGCTAAAACCTGGGTGTGTCCTTTCTGTAACCAGAGGAATCCATTTCCTGCTCACTATGCCGCAATCGCTGTGGATAATCGACCACCCGAACTGTATCCGCAGTTTACAACGATAGAATACACGCTGAAGGTAAAAGTTATGATATTTACTTTTGATTTCCATATGTTCAAGGTAAACTCCTATTTAAACAGTCAGATGATATCTGATCATAGCCATAAGTCTTGGGAATTCTTGTGAGCGTTTGCATCGCTTATATCTAAATGGGCATGTTTCGTTTTCTGCGTACTCCTCATCCTTTTCTGAGCATAGGGAGATTTTCTGTCACCGCTTTCAAAAGAATTTTCCTTGCTTATTCAGTTGAGTGGCAAAACATAGCACTCTTATCTGATAGATGCTATAAGGTAGCTTAGAAATTTCACAGTAATTGTTGCTTTGGTGTACGATAACATTCTGATGCTTTCATGGTGTATTGACTTGGTGGATAACGCATACTTTTACAGAAAGCTACCACAATGCCGCCAATCTTCATGTTTGTGTGGACACTTGCGTAACTCCTAATGAGGCGCTGAAGGAAAGCTTGCAGGTCTGAGATTGTCAATTTTCATCCGCGCCTTGTGTGGCTTAGCCGACTTATTTATGACTTATTTGTGCTCAAAACATATCTTTGCGAAATCTTTTATTCCACTGTATTATACAGCTCTGTCACTGCTTCCCGCCGATGCTATGATTGGCATAATTACTTATGGTCGAATGGTTCAGCTGCACGAACTTAACGTACAAGGAATCAGCCGAAGTTTTGTATTCATTCCTTTGCTTTGTGCTGATCAACGGCAGTGCCTTTGAGCTTGTGAAGAGAGGGAATCCCACCTATTCATCCTTTGGAAGGGATATTTGCACGGGTGATCATAAGGGATGAGTTTTAGATAGTGGTTACGATTTGCAATATACAATTTTGTCATCAATGAAATACTTTTAGCCTGTCGCCCTAGCTTTTTCGCTCACTCCGTGAGTTCTGCACGCTTTCTTTTTATTTTAACGTAAACGTCCGAGCTGTGATTCGTCTATCATATTTTAGTAATTTATTATTCTCATTCCTTATAAGTTGTGATTGTGATGCTCATCTGGATGATTAAATATTGTGATCCTGCCTTCGGTAGGACTATCTAGTTCTTATGAGTTCCTCACCAGCTCTACTTTTGAGTATCTTGTTTTACTAGTTCTATTCGGTCATCGCAATCATAACAAATACTGATTGTCTGTTAGCGGTGCTGATGACAGTGAACTGACGAATCTTTGATGTGAGAGCACTTCCTAAACGAACGATTCGTCAGTTCACTGTCATCAGCACCGCTAACAGACAATCAGTATTTGTTTGATTGCGATGACAATGAAACTAGTAAAACAAACCAGGTACTCAAAAGTGAGCTGGTGAGGAACTCATAAGAACTAGATAGTCCTTCCAAAGGCGGGATTTTTGACTTACGCAAATCAAGTCCTTAAGCTGCATTTGTAATAGTAGACGATTACATATAGCGAACAATTCTAGACCAGTCTTTCAGAATCTAGCAGTTTGTTCCGCACTTGAGATTTGACAGTCTATGATGTGAGAAAATATCTTCTTTATTAATTTCACTTAACAACTCAGCTCCATTTATGGGTGAAACAGTAATTGTATTTAGGATTTGCCACATTTCATCTTGGCAGCTAACTCTATTTGCTCTGTGATTGGTCGTAACAATATGCAAAGCTAGAGGTTATCATGGAAAGTTGGTTTATTGATGTGTAGCTTCACCATCTAGTTGTACTGTAGGTGTCGATCAAATCTAGTCAACTCCCATCTCATGATATCGTTTATCGAGACACCGATGTTGTCAGAATTACGTCATAAAGATATTAAATTTACTCTAGACATGAAATTCACACAGACGAATATGTGCGAAAGGAACGTGATTCGTTTAGGAAGTGCCCTCACATCAACGGGGTAGAAGCTTGTGCATTCGTTGTAGTTGGGACTTCGGGGGTGGGGGGAGGGGAGGAGGATAGGAAATGGGGGTGGGGGGGGGGTCGTGCCGAGGTCCGGCCCAAGGGGGGGGATCGTATCCGACGGTCGTGTGCCGCACCCCCCGCTTTACCCTGCTTATACATGTCGCCTCTGCTAGTACTTAGCTGTCCATATCGGTCAGCTGTAGTCTTTCATCGTCAATGGAGCTTGAAAGTTTGTCGTTGCGCTGTCGGTAGAAACCTGGGTATACAACTTGTTGTGTAATGTCTCGTCCTGTTTACTTTTGAGACATGGGGTTAAGCTAGTCTAGAGAAAGATCTGATCATATGGGGCAATGACTTAGACCGAATAGATGTCTTAGCAAAGTTGGCTCGCAACAAACTTCATATATAAAATTCAATAATCGATAAAGCAAAGCAAGGTTTACAAGATAATATTAAGAAATCGCGAAGGGATGAATTTGTGTGCTGTTTTTGGGGCACACAAATGTCTGTCGCACACAGCAAAAACTGACCGCGTGGTTGAATAATTTGTGCTGCGGCGCTCAAAGTTGACGCATGCAGGTTCGATCACGCTTGATGTAACTTTTGCGCCTGCCTGCATTATCAAAATGTCAAGTGCACAGTGCATGCGAATTGAGATTATACGAGGTTATCAGAACCTACAATCAATTCGCGGCTGCTGTCGGAGTTGGAACTTTCCGCGATGTGTACCAACCTGCCGACATCTATGATGCTCAGGTAGGGTAGATTACCACCGGTCCTTTTACCAGATCTTCCAAATTATCTTTGCATTGTTTGTTGCCTATTTTATCCATGTTTGGCATAATTTACTATCCGAAATTGAAATGTCCTGTAAGTGAGCAGGAATCATACCTTTTGAATACAACTTACCCAGTCTTTTCTATGTGTAGATATTTACAAGCTTCAATCTGGTTTTAATGATTAGCATAAGCATGCACAAGTCCTCTGTCTTATTCTCAAAGAACCGTACAAGCGTTCTTGTTGAGAAGAAAGTCATCCTACAACTTATTTAGGGAGAAGGATGGGATGGTTGGCTGACAAATAGTCATTGGAATCCTCAAAGAGATTTTATGTTTCATGGTTTGAAGGAAAGAGATAGAAAACGCTTTAAAATAGCCCAAAAAAGTGAGGATATCTTAGAAAGTATTAGGTTGTATCGAAAGTTCTGTCGTTTCATTTTTGAAAATTTGTAGCTTTGCGCTGTTCCAACGGATTTGCCTGCCTGTAATTTCATTAGAAAGATTAAGTCTTTCTCTTTCGAAAGGTCTTTTGCGGAGCTTCTGTTTCACATTGGGTGCGGAGATAAAAATGGAAAACTAAGACCATGTAAAGTTTGACCCTTTTGAGTTAGGTCACCAAAAATCTGGAATGCTGCAGAAAAATCTGAAATCGTCAGTACATATGTTTTTTGCCCTACCCTTTGCATCCGCGAAAAAATTGTGCTGTTTGGACGTCTCTGTGAGAAGTTAAGATTTTTGCGAAAATTGACAAATTAATTATTTTTGACCTTTTCCATAGTAAACTCGATATTCATAACTTCTCACAGAGACATCCAAACAGCACAATTTTTTCACAGATGCAAAGGGTAGGTCAAAAAACATATGTACTGACTGACGATTTCAGATTTTTCTGCAGCATTCCAGATTTTTGGTGACCTAACTTAAAATGGTCAAACTTTACATGGCCTTAGTTTTCCATTTTTATCTCTGCACTCAGTGTGAAACAGAAGCTCCACTAAACAGCGTTTGAAAGAGAAAGACTTATTCTTTCTAATAAAATTACAGGCAGGCAAATCCGTTGGAACAGCGCAAAGCTACAAATTTTCAAAAATGAAACGACAGAACTTTCGGTACAACCTAATATTATAATGAAAACATTAAAAGTAATTCTTTTCAGCATTCTCGATGGACCTAAGTTCTATCCTTGGTTTAACACCTTGAAAACACCGTTAGAGCTCGACAAGTGCAGGGAAGGTAAGGATTTAGGCAAATAGTCAGTGAAGTTGGATTTTAAATGGAAGAAAGTCTTAAAACTGTCCCCACTGTTCCTCGAATAGATTTGCACCATTGAAAGTCAAATCAGGATAAAAATCAAAAAACCTTCATACCATCTTAGTTGTTCACAATTTTTACAAACCTGTTTGCTGAAACCAACACTCCTGAAAACCTTATCAGGGCAAGTAGTAATCTGGTCGAAACTCCGAGTTAAAGCTGCGCGCTAACTTAGAGTTGACTCCGAGTTTCGTTTCTGAGACTCGGAGTTTCGTACTGCTACTTGCGGAGCCGCTGTGGTTGTTGAGGAGCTGCCACAAGCTTCATTGCAGTACGCGCAGCTAGATCGAGAGTCGAAATTTTTTTGCCAGCGCGAAGTGTCTACAACTAGACCACTAGACTACGGAGCATCCTAACAGCATCGCCATTCTGCCGCCATAAGTACTCTTGCTTATAGTCGTCCTCAACCCACTAGTCGGTCAGTGGACGGATTCGAATTCGAACAAGAGCAGGCCAGTGGCGGTAGAGCGTGACACCTGAACCCTCTGTTCAGTTTTGTGCATGTTTCTTTATGGTTTTTTCACTGTAGTTGTTTCTTAATCTTCGTGTCATGAGTATGTTCATTTTCAAAATACTATTTTGTTGTTGTCGAGTATTGTTTTGTACTGCTATGCTTGTTACTTCAAGTCTAAATACAAGTAATTACAGAAACAATACCGAAGGAAGCTCTTCTGTAAATCTTCTTCTTTTGTAAGTAACGCGTGTAGAAATGATGTTTTAGTGATCAATGTCACTGCACATCGTTTCTAGAAGCTCAGATAAAGTCACCTTAGCAGAAACCGAGCTTAACTGCGCGAAACAACAATCAACAATAACGAACGCAATTTTGACTAGAAACATTGGCATAGCACATAAATTAACAAGCAACGGGTAAAAAAACCAAAAAGAAATATACGTAGTTTTGAACAGAGGGTTCGATTGCCGCGCTCTGCTGCTACCGGCCTGCCTCAGTTGAATTCCGAATTCGTCCACTGGGCCGACCAGTGGGGTGAGGACGACTATGCATCCTACGTGTTCAGGCACGTCAAGAGGCATGGAGCCTCTTCGCTTTAACCAGTGGATTCACTAAAACACCCATACGGCGTATCGAGCCCCCCCCCCTCCGAGAATGGGTCGCAGATTTTTGAAAGTTACTTAAATGTATTATAGAAGCGTGCAAGCAACTTGTTTTTACTTGTAAATAATTGAAATAATTTTTGCAAATTTTTTGAAATTCAAATTAGCGGTCTAAAAAAACTTTTTTCGGGGGCTCAGGGGAGCAGGATTGTTCATCCGAAAAATTTTTGTCCCCCCGCCCTGAGCGGAAATCCTGGGTACGCCACTGCTCTACGTACTCCCCCTCCCATTCTCAACCCCCATTTACGATATCATCTTCTATACAAAAATCCCAACCTAAGAAGAATTGATTCATTGACAAAACATAATATAAGTATCAAAATTCAGCTAAAGCTTCAGCCAACAACATGTGTGATAAGAGACACATCATGGAATCATCTACATGCCTCTATCATTTTGATAATACTATCGGCTGGCTGATGGATGCTACACAGTAATTTGGATCTCAAACGCTTTAGACATTGCACAAATTCGCCGCGTCCTGAGGGTTATTTTTATGTCTTTAAGAGGTACGATCTCTTCCATCATACCCTTTACTTGACTTAACGTGAGGTTGGGCTAATGGCGCATGCTGCTGTATATGCTAAGTAAGCCTTAGTTCAACAGGCTCGGCGGTTGAAAGGCGTGGCTTCTTGACCTAACCAAGGCCGCTCGCGCCCGCTATGCAGTCTGCGTGTCTGTCGCGCGCGTGCTCTCTGATCGTTAACTAGCTAGGTCCCGAAGCCCCGCCTTTCAGCCGCCAGGCTAGTTGAATCAAAGCGTACGCCGTTGAGGTTAAAATATTCAAAAAACGTAGTCTACTGATGGTACTGGTTCTTGGAGGTTCGTGAACGAACGGGAAGGGCACATAAGAGGCTACGCTAAAGTTATCAATTTGTGATTCTCTTGCTGCGTTTCCAACTTAGCCCTCCATCGCGTGTCTTGAACGTACTGAAGGCAGCCTATGATTTTGCGTGCCACTGCGAGGCACACTGTGTCATTATCGCACTCGCGCTCAAATTCCGACAAGAAAGAATTTGAGCTGATCAGCAGCTCTCAAAAGCGAGATGGTGTTTCGCTGTAAAATTCACTTTACTATTTCCTTCTACGATGCCATTCTCGCACTCAGCTCACA